AGATTTTTTTATGAGTTGTAAAAAATAGTAGTGAGAAGAAGAAGGAATTCAAAACGATTATTGTGTTTGATTTGGAACAATACCAAATATTTATAATGCCTTTAGGTGTCTGTTAAAAAATGAATGAGTTTTATAACTAATTAAGACAACCTTTGGGAAGAGGCACTTTGCAACAACCGCTTCTTTAGAAATTAAAAGTCACCTTTTTGGATTTAAAATCTGTTAAAAATATTTTGTATAAATAAAATAATTTTTTTTAATTAAATAAACTAATGTGATGGGAACTAAAAGATATAATTAATTTCAGGCTATTTAAATTTTCACTCAATTCCCATAGAATATTCAGACTGCATGTGTTCATCTATTTGCCGTTAGATTCTTGCTCATCACACCCGAGAAAGACTTAAAAAATATTAGTAGTAAAACATTTATATTTGGGAGTGATATAGCAGTAGAGACACTCATTAAAACAAAGAAGGAGTAGAGACACTCCTTAACTTGTATCATAAACTTGAAATCTTTAGAAGGAAAGAATTAGGATTCTATCTTGTACAAGGAAAGTTGACATTGAGGTGTTGATATCCAAGAAGAATTAGAAATTCTATCCTCTATAGCAAGCATGTTGGAAGTGATGATATAGAGTCCTAAAAGAATTATACTCAATACTACAATTTTATCCAATATCATATTGTTTCTTTAAAGAAATAATTTAGGGCATAAAAGTCAATCAATATGTCAAGAATATTTTGTCGTTAACATTTAGTGTTAGAATATTTGTGATTTTATAATAATATAAATATAGATTATTCTCTATGTTCTTGCGACACACGAATATATTTAGTGACGGAGAAAGGTTAAAGAATAGGGACTCAAGTAAATCTTCTTCATTTGAAAATTATATTTACAAATAGAGCAAAACTAAATTTTAATTATGTATAAAATGTTAAAATCCCTTGACATAAAAAAAAAACTCAAGTAAAGAGGTAAAGTGGTTTAGAATATCTTGTGTGAAATATTACGAAGTGCGTATCAAAAATTATAAAATTTCAGTTGAATAGATATTCTGAATTGTTATTCATATGTACAAAATTTAATAACAATTTAAAACAAAGGGTAGCAGCGGCAGTCTTGAATATTCGTGAGCAGAATATTCTCAAAGTGTCACAATAACGAATTCTCAATTTATGTTCGATTTTTCTTTTTCTTCCATAACTGTGCTTCATATCCACGTTGAAACACTTATTAATTAATTAAGTGATATATTTAGTTGCAAATTCCAAGTTAGTTTGACCCAAAATCAACTTTGTAGGCTTGTCAAGTGTAGTTTAAATGGGAAAAGAATTCCAGCCTTAGGTGATTTACAATTGTATCTTCAAGTTATATAAATATTTAAGCTTATAAAAGTCGATCAATATTTCGAGGATATTTTAGTCGTCCAATATTTAACATAAATTATTCGTGCTTTTATAATAATATAGATAGATATATTATTTGTGCAAAGACAAAAATGTGGATAGCCACATCATCCGAGTTTCCACAAATATAACCAGTTTTCGCAAAACTAAATCATTCATCTAATGAGAAACATCACAATGCGTCTCTCATGTCACCCTGAATTTCCCTTCACATAGGCAACCCAAGTTTTTTATTAACAACTCAATTGAACCACCAACCATTGAAGCGAAATATCAAGCACAACCTACAAATAAACCAAGAATAGCATTACTCGGAAGATGGAAAGCAATTTTGGGATACAATACAATTTTTTTGGATGAAGCAATATATTTATCATGACTAAACTTTGAAAGGAATCGACAGGACCCAAAGGACAAAACAAAAAAGGAAAGGATATATATTGGTCGTTATTATGAACATAAGTGTGATAAAGATAATGAATATGTATATGTCACTGGATGAGACAATAAAAATTGATCTTGAAGCTTATGAGCAGGTACCATTTACCAAAATCCACTTTGTGACAGAATCAACAACAACAACAACAACAACGGCCCAGCATTGATTTTGTATTTCTTATATTGTTGTTATTTTATTATGATTCTATTGATGGTACTAATATATCGTCTCTTGTTGCTTTCTTGAGTCGAGGGTCTCCTGGAAACAGCCTCTCTGCCCCTCGGGGTAGGGGTAAGGTCTGCGTACATATTACCCTCCCCAGACCCCACTTTGTGACAGAATCAAGCACTCGAAAAATCAATGCTTTCCCAAGAAATAAAAAAAAAATCTAAAATTCCTTATTTCATGGCCTTATAAATAAAACTTCTAAATTCTATCTAGAGAGTAGGGGTGTACAAAGGAAACCGACAAACCGCACCAACCCGTTAATCCGAGTCAAACCGAGAAAAAAACCCGACTATGAGTTGGTTTGATTTGGTTTGGTGTTGGAAAAAAAACCCGACCATAATTGGTTTGGTTTGGTTTTAACTAAAGAAAGTCAAACAGAAACCAAACCAACCCGACATTACATATATAGAAATTTTAGATATATTTAATATATAAATATACTTATTGTGATGTAATTTATAAATATTTCTTAAAAGATTTCATAATTTTATCTTTTGAGATATTATTTCAAGACTGGACTTAGAATTTTTGAATGTTCCAATAAGTTTTATAGCCATTAACATTAGTAAATTAAATAGTGCTAACAAAAGCCCAAACCAAAATCAAATCAATACTAATGCTAACAAAAGACATTTAATTCAATACTACGAATGTGAATGTATTGAATATCTATTTTTTGTTTGCAATAATTTAGATAAAAATGCATAACCTATTTTTATTTTTTCTTTAGCATTTAGTCATGTATTTAATACCCCCTTAATAGTCTACTTATTTTAACCTGACTTATTACTTTTAGATTATGTTTATTTTTATTATGGCTTTTTAATTAGCAATATTTTTTATTACATAATTTTAATGTCTTTATTGTTGAATATTTTAGGATAATGCCATGACATATCTCATATTTTGTATTATTTTCTTGGAAAATACTTTATATAGGTGTACTACTAGGACTAAAGAAATATTTTGAGCATAATTTATATGTTTTGTTCTACGAAGATTTTACCGGAAAAAAATTCGAAAAAACCCGAAAAACCCGAGAAAAACCGAGAGTGAAAAATCCGAGTTTTATTGGTTTGATTTGGTCTTTAGATTTAATAATCCGACACAATTGGTTTGGTTTGGTAATTGTAAAATCCGAACCAACCCGGCCTATGTACACCCCTGCTAGAGAGCTTAGTTTCTCATTTGATATGTAGTCTCCGTCTCAAGTAGAAAGTTATCATATAGACAAACCAAGTAGTATAATGAATATTTTTATATTAAATATATACCACAAAAAACAAAAAATAAAAATTAATAAGTTAGTAAAAAATTCTTATTAATGTTCAACACTCTAAGTGAAACTGAGCCCTCACTTGGCCGATCAAGAAGTTTCTGAATTCTATCATCCCGTTTTCGTTTATGGCTTTTGTTAAGTTTTTATACTTGAACTCCAGAAGATCCTGAGCAGTCTTAACCCCAAAGTACAAATTTAGTTCTCCAACTCTTTCATGAACAGTCAGGCCTCACTTTCATCACATACTCTATAAACTCTGGTTTTAACTACCACAAAATTGTAAGGAGAGAGCTTACCTTTATTATTTTTAGAAAAAGCTCAACCGACATGTTTACTCTTCAACTTGGCACAATCTATTGATTCCACAAAAGTTAGTATTTTCATTTGTGTATGAGCAAATGCAAATACCTGAGGATGAAAATCTTGAAATTCTCTTAAGAGACCTGAATTTTTTTTGTTCATATAGACCAAACACGCGTTTCCATCATTACTTACCTAAGAATTCAGAATGAACCAGTAGGAAAAATCAGCAAGTAAAAAATTAAATGATTTGTTGTTGGAGATAGTGAATAACAAAATTTATTAAGAATTGTTCTTGCATATAACTTAATATTAACCTTCTCTGGTTAGTTGTAGCAATTCGCGCACAAAGAGAGAATCAATGTTCATATCCATACAGAAAGCACCAGAGTTCCACCATACTTTTGCCACATTAACTGACAAATGCATTCCTCCTTGCTTCTCTTGTAATCTTGTAACCAAAGCTTTGAGAAAAGAGTTATATTTCTTCTCTCGAAACTTTTCAGTCATAGCAAAATGGCAATTGTTAATAAACATGGGTATCAATAACTCAAATTCACTTGAAAATAGATGCAAATTAAATATGCAACTGTCACAGTTGCAGCTATTAGTTCGATAAGATCACTGGTAACATTTTTCTAGAAAAAAATCAGTTGCAGCATTGGGGTCAATCCACCAGACTATTCCAAATTAAGTCAACTTATAAATACACATAAACAAGTTCTCTTACTTTATTTAGCTTGTCAATTTACAACGTCAAAATAGTCTTTTAGGCAAAAAATAAAACCACATATCCTTAATATATCATATATCAGTTGGAATTTCCATTCAGATGTAGGCCATAAAGATGCAAAAGAAGGGAAGAAAAGGGGAAGAGTAGTCCTAACTTTTCTTTGTACGGTTAGAGTTTGAAAAGTATGTAATAGAAACAGCTCTGACAATCAATACACCATATTTACAAAATACATTTAGAAGTATCGAGTATGCAACAGATATCATTCAAGCATTTTCGCGCAGAAGGGTACAACTTTCCCCGTAAGAAGTCTGATGCAGCACATATTACCTTTTGTAAAACAAACTCTCTTGCAGCATATATGTTGGATTTGATGAGATAATTGGAAATCATATATGAACAAGAGAGAACAGAAGGTTCGATAGAATGGGAGCTGCCAGATATTTTGATGAAATGGGTATCTTAGTTCCAAAGTGGAACTACATGTCATTTATATACAATTCATGTACAACCGGGTCAGCCCAAATACAAAATACTAAACTGAAACTAAACATACATCATAACACTACAAATAATTTAAATACATGGCTCAATACTAGNCCCAAGTTGGAGGGTGATTGGCCACACCCAACTTGCCCAGAATAAACTTGTGAGTCATACCAGATAGGGGCTTGGTAAGCATATCTGCCAATTGCAACCTGCTGGGAACATAGGACAATGAGATTAGCCCATCATGAAGTTTTTCACGGACGAAATGACAATCTAGCTCGATATGTTTGGTACGCTCGTGAAAGACAGGATTCCGAGCAATGTAAATGGCAGACTGACTGTCGCAATGAACAGGAACTGAAACAATAGAAGTGACAGAAAGTTCATGAAGTAGCCTGGTAAGCCAGGCAAGCTCAGCTACCACTCTTCTCATGGATCGGTATTCAGCCTCAGCCGAAGATAAAGCAACAGTGTGCTGTTTTTTCGACTTCCAAGAAGAGAGCCACCAAGTAATACCAAATAACCACTCACAGACTTTTTAGAACTCGGACAAGCAGCCCAATCCGAGTCACAGTAGGCTTGGAGAGAAAGATCAGAATCAGCATTCATGAAAAGTCCTTGACCCAATGTGCCTCTAACATACTTAAGAACATGATAAGCAGCAGATAGATGAGCAGAGGTGGGAGCATGCATGAATTGACTAAGATATTGAACAGAAAAGGCCAAATCAGATCTAGTATTAGTGAGAAAATTTAATTTTCCAACCAATTTCCGATAAAAAGTAGGATCTGATAGGGGCTCCCCAGCCTCTACTAAAGATTTCAGATTAGTGTCCAAAGGGCTGGCGACGAACTTGCAGTCCAGGTGATCAAATTCAGACAAAAGATCCCATGCAAACTTCCTTTGGCAAACTATGACACCACCAGATTCAGCCAGAATTTCCAGACCCAAAAAATAATGCAAGTGTCCTAAGTCTTTAATTTTAAATTGTTCATCTAGAAACAGTTTAAGGGCAGCCATTTCCTTATCATCATTTCCAGTTAAAAGAATATCGTCAACATAAACAGCAACAATCGTTAGATGACCAACATCAGATTTAATGAACAATGAGTAGTCATTTTTAGAGACTGTGTAGCCCAAAGAAATAAGAGAATCACTTAACTTGGAGTACCACTGTCTTGAGGCCTGTTTGAGGCCATATAAAGACTTTCTTAACTTGCAAACCATGCTATTCCCAGCCACCATCATACCTTGAGGTATTTTCATGTACACCCTCATCTAAATCCCCATGCAAAAAGGCATTATTGACATCTAATTGAAACATGTCCCAACCTTTTTTGACTGCCACAGCTATAATAGATCTAATAGTCGTCATCTTAACAACCGAGGAGAAAGTTTCATTATAGTCTATACCTTCTTGTTGCGTATCACCTCTTACAACTAACCGAGCTTTAAATCTGTCAATGCTACCATCGGCCTTATGTTTTATTTTATACACCTATTTACAACCGATTGGTTTCTTCCCGGGGGGTAAAGGAACCACATCCCAAGTCCCATTAGCCTCAAGAACCTCAAATTCTTTCAACATTGCCTCCTGCCAGGCTGGCTGTTGATAAGTTGATGGCTCAAGTACAGTATCTAAGGTGTGAACTAAACTCTGATTACGTGAACTTAAGGTGCTGAAGCATACAGATCTTGGAGAGGCGGGGATAGAAGTTTAAATGGGAGGAAAAGAAGAGGAAAAACTACAAAGGTAATCGTTCAAATATGAAGGGGGATGATGAATTCTGGAGGGATATCGAGCTACTGGGACATGAGAAGGGGAAGGTGAAAGATGAGATTCAGAAGAAGTAGAGGAAGTAGAAAGAGTAGAAGACTGTATAACAGAATCCTGAGGTGAAGAAGATGAACTGGAGGGAGGAAGAGAACAATCTGAATCTATGTAAGGCGGCGGAGTTGGAAATAAAATTGTGGGAGTAGATAAAGCTGAATAAGGAAAGATGTCCTCATGAAAGACGACATCCCTGGAAATAAGAATCTTCTTATCTGAAAGTTGCAGTAATTTATAAGCTTTCTTTCCAGGGGGATAGCCTAAAAATATGCAAGCACTAGATCTTGGTGAAAATTTATTTCTTAGGGATTTGGGAACCACTGCATAGCACAAGCAACCGAAACTTCTCATATGATTGTAGGAAGGTTTTTGACCAAAAAGAAGCTCAAATGGGGTCTTCCCAGATAACACTGAACTGGGAAATCTATTGATCAAATATGTTGCAGTAAAAATACAATCACCCCAGAAATGAATGGGAAGTTTGGACTGATACAATAGGGCTCTTGCTGTTTCCAGCAAATGTTTATGCTTTCTTTCGACAATGCCATTTTGTTGAGGTGTATAGGGACAAGAAGTTTGGTGCATCACACCTTTGGAGAGGAAATATGTTGTGGCTTCACGACTAGTTCCAAGTTCCAAGGCATTATCTGTTCTTATGGTTTTAATTTTGATGTTAAACTGGGTTTCAATCATGCAAAAGAAAGATTTTAGGATAGACAATGCATTACTTTTGTGACTAAGAAGATGTGTCCATGTATATCTACTATAATCATCCACAATTGTCAGGAAATTTTTATATGATTTTTGTGTTGCAGTGTGATATGGTCCCCAAACATCCACATGAATAAGATCAAATAGATGAGAAGAATAAGATTCACTGTGAGAAAAAGGAAGTCTTTGTTGTCTAGCAAGAGGACAAATTTCACAAAGGAAAGGTTGTCTATTACATGTAGGAACATTCAGACATTCTATTCTCTGCAACTTTGAAAATGGAAGATGTCCCAATCTATGGTGCCACAAAACATGGGACCTAAGTTGCTCGAACTCGGGTGCGGGTATCCGATACGGGGACGGTTCCGAGTATCGGATTGGGCAAAATCTAAATTTTAAGATTCGGGGGTGAGAATCTGGATATGGATACGGGTGCGGGGATACGGCTAAGAAAATTCAAAATAATAAAAAATAGAGCTATAAAAATATTGTAAATATTGAGACTACATGCTAGGTCTACATGAAGTACAAAATCAGAACATGACACTTTGAATTTTTGGTTTCTCCGACACACAAAGCATCAAATATGAGACAAAAATACTACAACATTGAAGACAAAAATATCCGGGACGTTTCCCGCTCCAGCACCCGTCCAAGTCTCGTATCGGGACGGGGACGGCACCAAAATTGAAGAGTCCGTGCAACTTAGCATGGGACTTATTTACATTTATTGTATTTGCATGAACAAATATACGAACAAGAATAAAAGTTGAGGGAGAATATGATTCTGCATTAGAAGAAGTTGAAGAAATTCTGGGATTGATCAAGTAGAGCCCTTCAGCCATCTTACCAAGTTCCAATGGCTTCTTCGGAGAAGGGCCCTGTAAGTAACATGCAAATTGTGTAAAAAATACTAGAGAAGAAGTATCAATTAAAAGCTTGTGAACTGAAATCAGATTATACTTGAAAGTAGGCACATATAGAACTTTGGACAAAGTAACATGGGAATTGACTTGGACAATGCCAATAGATGTGACTTTCACTTTATAACCATTAGGTAAAGTGACAAGATATGGGATAGATAGGTTAGTTAAATTGGTGAGTAATGATTTGTTGGAGGTCATGTGATCTGATGCTCCAGAATCTAAAATCCAAGTATCAGAATTTAGCACACTACTTAGACAAGCACAACTCCTGTAGATTGAGAGAGAATAATAGGCAGGTATACCTGTAAAATTAGCTGCACTAGAGACGGACTGATTCTGATTCTGTGGATCATCAACCTGAACATTTTGAAGAATATTCATGATCTGCTTGTATTGTTCTGGAGTAATTGTATTTGGGGAAAGAGTAGTGTCAGGACCACCATCAGATTTTGGATCAGCAGAAGAAAGCATATTAGCAGCAATCCGCACATTCTTATTTCCAAACTTGAAATTTTGAGGAAAACCATGAAGTTTGTAGCATTTTTCTATCACATGCCCATTTTTCTTGCAATACTTGCAAAACAGCTTCTTAGGATCAACATAACCCTTCTGATTATTGAAATTCTGAGTAGTAAGATTGTTGAAATTCTGAGTTGTGCGATTGTTGAAATTGTATCTCTGATTAGGATTGACAGATTGTGGTGCTTTTTGATTGTAGCTTGTCACATTATGTATACCCCTTTGCTTCTCATCCTGAATAATCAGTGAGTAAGCTTTACTGATGTCTGGCAGAGACTCCATCATAAGAATGTTTCCCCGAGCATTACTATATGCTTCATTTAAACCCATCAAAAACTGCATTAGTTTTTGATTCTGTTCTCTTTTGATCATCTTGTGTTTATCCCCACAGGTACACTCACACACACAATAAGAGTCAGCATCCAGAGATTCCATCTCATCCCACAACCTTTTTATCCTAGTAAAATAACCACTGACATCAGAGGAACCTTGAGAGATAGAGCTCAAGTCCTTCTGTACCTCATACATCCTAGCACCATTGGATTGACCATATCTCTGATTCAATTCATCCCAAAGACTTTTAGCAGATTTGGAATATATCACACTTTGTGCTATGTCCGGATCTGGAGAATTCAAAATCCAGCTAATCACCATATTATTACACTGTTCCCATGGTTCGTATAGTGAAGAAGTAAGAGAGGGTTTAACATATGCACCATTGATGAAACCTATCTTCTTCTTTGCAGACAAAGCTATAATGATCCCTCTCCTCCAAGCCCCAAAGCATGAACCATTAAATTGTTTAGCTACTAACATAATACCAGGATTATCAGACGGATGTAGGAAAAAAGGATGAGATGAAGGTAAGGCAGGTTCAAGTTCAAGTTCGGAATCACTGTTGTCATGTATGTTCCTCATGATTCCACAGAAACAAACAATACTAGCAGAGAGAAATTGTCAGGAATAACAATCGAGGAGGAGATGCAACCCGAGCTTACCAAAAATTCGCACAGATAAGGATGAAGATACCATAAATCAAAGGTGAACCTCCAGGAAACCACCAGATCGGAAAATGCCATCGCAACTGATTCACACATGTGCGAAGACCAAAAAAAAACCCAAATCTGGAAATTTCTCCGGTGAAACTGAAGATAATAGCTCCAAAACTTCAAATCCAGCAGAATCGATCAACAAACAGCCGCCAAAATTGGAAAATTGAACAAAAAAAAAACGAATTTATAGCCTAGTTTTTTTTTTTGTTGCGATTCCTCTGAAACTTAGAAAATCAGAGAAATGAAGCTATGAAAACACAAAATCTACGCCGGATCTTTGATAGAAAGCCCTGATAGCATGTTGGATTTGATGAGATAATTGGAAATCATATATGAACAAGAGAGAACAGAAGGTTCGATAGAATGGGAGCTGCCAAATATTTTGATGAAATGGGTATCTTAGTTCCAAAGTGGAACTACATGTCATTTATATACAATTCATGTACAACGTGGTCAGCCCAAATACAAAATACTAAACTGAAACTAAACATACATCATAACACTACAAATAATTTAAATACATGGCTCAATACTAGTCCAACAATATAGTACATTAACTTCAGTATACTTTTAGTGTTAATTACCTTCTCAATTTCTAATTGTGTGTTTGTCACTCTAGCAGTTTCAGGTTCTAACGATAAACTATGATTATTTGCATTTCTTGAAGCACCTAGATCTTTCAACTTTTTATTTTTCATACTGTGTACTCCCAAATTGACCCAAAAAGGAAAAATATAATGCATAAACAACTTTCAGATAAGTAGATGGTGAAGCGTTGAAAGTGAAAACATACTTTTAAAACAGCCAGGAAATGTGAAATGAAATCTTAGCAGCTTTCCTTTCATCATCTGCAACAACCTCTTTAATGCCACCAGGACATGTGAATTGAAACTTTTGCAGGTTTTCTTTCATCCTCTGCAAGTATCTCTTTGTAAGATAGTTTATTATTGGCAAGTTGGAAGTGAGACGTTTCTTTCTCGTACCGTGTCTGTTAGCCTCGGAACTGATCATTATGAAATAACACATAACAGACACGAGATTGACTCAACAGGCACGAGATTGACTCAACAGGCACGAGATTGACTCAACAGGCACGAGATCCTAAAGTTAATTATTTTTTAACAGAATAATCAAATTTATTTGAATTTTAAATTCAAAATTCGAATAAATAGTCGTGTCTGTTTGTGAAACAAGACATCTTTTCTGAAAGGGTCTGTTGGTTGCCTATAAATACACAAGAATTCCAACGAAACGAAATAGAAAATCACAAGTGTTATTGCAGGCTTTGTTGTATCCTCAAGAGAATCGTTTTGTATTTTCCCTAAATTAGTATACAGGCGATAACTCTTTAAGGACAGTCGATTTTCACGCCTCAAAGCCAATTTTGATTATTCTTTTCTAACAATCTTAAAGAGTTATCCTACTATGGAGAAATTGATGTCTGTTGTTGAGAATCCAGTTCATCAAACTTGATCGCTTTGATGGAACGAACTTTACCCGTTGGAGAGACAAGATGATAT